TTTTCCAGCCCCAAGGAGTCTGGGCCTCTAATAAACCCCTCACTCTGTTGACCCCCAGGACCCCCTGGATAAGCTCCAGTGATGCAGGAAGGAATTAAGAGCAAGGCTGAGAGTCAGACCCACTTGGATTCCCGAGTTAGCCTTCCAGAGCCTCAGCTTCTTCCTGTAGAAAACAAAGAGAACTGAGCAAGGCAATGCACCCATAGCACAGGGTACAAACCTGGCATGTGGGACTATTCCGTGACCAGTGGGGCTTAGTTTTGCTGACTTTAAAAAGATCCTTGGTTACTCCTCCTGAAACATTCTCCAGATATAATCCATTCAGAAAGGCACCTGAGTATGACCACATTCCAGGCAAGTCACCCTTTATAAGAAAGGATTGCTGTGATAAGGTTTGTAAATACCATCGCTTTCACCTAAAGGATCCCAAAGGCTGCAGTTGGCTTTTGCTTATCACCATTGCTTGCCATCTTGAAATGACTTCCTTGGTTGAGCTTTGGTGTATACCAATTTACTTAGGCCTGTTGAAAATCTCTTTGTAAAGGACCCGTGTTTGCTCTGAAAGGATTTAAAGCTGTAAATGTCTTATCTGTCACTGCTTTTAAAGTCCCCTTTTCATCTTTGGACTCATACCCAGTTTACCTCATTATCAACTTGCCATATAAAGTGTCAAGAGTGAAGTGCGTTTTTATTCCTCATAGGTAGTTTGTACCTTGTCCATCATGTCTTCACTGAGGCACAATTTGTCTAATTCATAGCTTCTGTGATAGATCCACTGCTTTAAAGGCATCACTTGTATTAATAGTTCTGTTAGACTCACCTCCCTTCAGCTAAAACTGTCTGAGTAAAGGTCTCCAGAATACAGGAGCTTTTTCTCCTCCTAGTGTCTTGGTGGTATTTGTTGGTTGATGTTGATCACTTTTGAATTTTCTCCTTAACTGCCCTCCTTGATACAACTTAATACAGCTCCCCCCTCCCTGCTGACTATCCATCTGCATCTTTCTTATCATATCTTCTTGTCCCTTCCATTCAGTGCATTTCTTCATATGTTTATATGGTACCTCTTGTGTGCCTGCTCTCTACTAGGTTCTGGGATGTAGTGGCGAATGTGAAGACACTGTCCCTTTGTAGGTGCTCATTGTACCAGGGGGAGGGGACAGACAGGAGCTGGGCACTCACATAGTGATGTTAACACAGGTTACTCTGGAGACATAGAGGGATTAAAAATAAAAAAAGCACTGTTAACTGGAGGTCACAAGGGAGAGCTTCAAGGAAGCAACGCTGGTGCTAAGGTTTGGGGAATTAACTAGGCCAGGAGGAAGAGACCTATAAGTGGAAAGGACAGTGTGAGTAGAAAAAAAAATAGTCAGGTGAAGGGCAGAAGCTTGGCATGTTGGAGAAGTGAAGGACTGGACACCTAGAGCACAGAGCCTAGCATGTGGCAGCAGGGGCACCAGGGGCCAGATCACACAGAGCCTGCTAGGCTGCAGTAGAGTCTAGGTCTCTGTTCCAGACATTGGAAGGCTTTAAGCAAGGAGGTCCCTTGATCATATTTACATTTGAAGAAGACTTCTCCAGCAGCACCTTGGAGAATGACTGAGCAGAGTTTGAGACAGGTTAGTCCAGTCTTGCAGTGGCTCAAGGCAGAGTGGCCTGGGTGGTGTACTGCCCAGGCCTCTTCCCTTGTGATTCAGGCTCTGTGTGCATGAATTAAAACCAGGTTCATGTTTATTTTTGTCTTCATGATCAGTTATTCTTGATTGCCTTGTTCTCATCACTTGTTCTGCTGTCCTCATCATCACCCTGGTTTGAAAATCCAGGGCCACTGTTTGAACCTCTACCTTGCACCATCCCAGCCTCAGTTGAGAAGTCATGTTGTGCAGAGAGCTGCTCAGCCTCCAGCACTCACTACTGTGAGCCTGCCTGAGCCACAGCGACCACGACCATGTTGCTTCCTAAAATGCCTCTGCTCATTTCTGTATTTCCTAACAGCCAGCCACTCCCCCTTGTACCCTAGGGTTAGCCCAGGCCCTAGAGTGCCAGAAATTGCCCTCCATGTTCCCCTCAGTCTGTCCACTGCCCCACATCCATTCCTTTTTTTTTTTTTTTTGAGTTCGTACATTTATTAAGACAAAGAATGAAGCTCCCATGGGAAGATCCCCAAGTGCATTGCCCATCCGTTGCCTTCTGATACATAAACCTTTCACCCCAGCCAGGAGTATGTTTTCAACCAAACACCGTATGCGTAGTATGTGACCAGGCAGTAATGGGACTACTGCCCGTGGGGAGCTTTTGGTCAACCTGAAGGTATCTGGAGACAGAAATGAATGAAAAGATTTGTTCTTCTACTTCTGGAGAAAAGATGGCATAAGGTAGTATTAACACACACACCCCTTCTCACTGCAGGCATCTTGAAGTGCAACTAAAATATTATAACCCCACTCTGAAACAGTGGATAGACAAGTTTACAAAAAGGAAGGAAACCCCTTGCCAGGTGTGTGTAATCCCAGACACTTGACAGGTGGGGGCAGAAGGATAGAGAGTTCAAAGCCAGCCCAGGCAAAGGTCACAAAAACAAAAGGGCTCGGGGCCTGGATCCAGTGGTAGAGCACTTTTCCAGCAAGTGAGAGGCTCCAGGTTCAATCCCTACTACTGGGGAGAGAAAAAAAAAATCCCTCGATGAAAGAAATAAAGAGAGTATTGAAGACCACAGCCTGAAAGTCATTGTCATTCCCAGGGGTGCACAGCAGGGGTCAGGTAATATCTGTGAAAGGGCCAGATAATAAGTGGTGTAGACTTTGCATACCACACACAGCATGTCACATTTCCTTCTTTCACTTTTTTTGACAATCCTTTAAAAACATAAAAGCTATTCTTAAGTTGTACAAAAACAAACCATTGGCCAGTGCTGGTAGCTCATGCCTATAATCCTAGCTACTCAGGAGGCAGAGATTAGGAGTATTGCAGTTCAAAGCCAGTTTGGGTAAATAGTTCCTGAGACCATAATCTCTAAAATACCCAACACAAAAAATGGGCTGGCAGAGTAGAACACCTGCCTCAAAAGTGTGAGGCCCTGAGTTCAAACCCTAGTGCTACAAAAAAAAAAAAAATCACCATAGCTAGAACTGGTCCATGGACCACAACTTGTGGACTGTGATGTAGAGGTTTAGGACTGTGTCCCATGAAGACAGGAGAAAACCCTTGTGTCCCTGAGATGAGGTACTCAAAAGATGGGATCCACTGGACATGATGGATTACACACCTGTAATCCTCAGCAGGCTGAGGCAGGAAGATTACCAGTTTGAAGCCAGCCTGGGCTACATAGTAAAACTCTTTAAAAAAATAAACAGCCCAGCACCAGTGGCTCAGGCCACTGAGGAGACAGAGATCAGGAGGATCACAGTTTGAAGCGGGAGACCCTATTTTGAAAATATCCAACACAAAACAGGACTGGTGTTGTGGCCTAAGTGGTAGAGCACCTGCCTAGCAAACATGAGTTCAAACCCTGGTACTACCAAAAAAAAAAAAAAAGAAAAAAAATAGCAGTTTCCAAGAAATGAAATTTTACAAAACTAACTCAAGAAGGGAAAGCAGAACCTCCCATCAGAGAAACTACCCAAATGTAGAGTAAGCCTTTGAAATTCAACCAGTAGCGATGCATCCACTTATTCACCAAATCTGTGTCCACCCCAGACATCACTATAGGTGTTGGAGACACAGCAGTAAATAAAACAATCAAAACCCCATCCTGTCACTGCCATCCAATGAAACTTTGTGACACAGTGAATATGTTCTCCATGGCCTCTGTTCAGTACGCAACCACTGGCCACATTTGACTATTGAGTACTTGAAATAGGGTTAGGGCAACTAAGAAACTGATTTTTTAACTTTATTTAATCTTAATTGATTTCCACGTAATAGCCAATGTGGCCAAAGTTACCTCAAGTACAGCTCTAGCTATTAAAGTGAATAATGTAGTGGTGATTTGCCTGCAACCTGTGGTATTCAGGAGAACGAGGACTTGGACTGTATGGATCCTGACCCTTCTCTGAGCTAGCTCCCTAGTTTTACACATGTCATCCTGGTGGCCAAACAACCATGTTCTCTTATGAAGCCTTTTCACATACTTTTCATCCTTTGCTCCTCACACCTCAGGAGCCCAGGGAGTCTCAGGTGAGCAAGATTTTCCTAATACTTAATTGGGGCCCCGCCCTGGCTCTATTGGACTACATGGCACCTGGCGTGTGATAAATGCTCAGTGTTACATATTGGGTCAGTGGAAATCCATGAGCTCCCTGGTTGAAGGATTGTGTTGTGTTGTGTTGAGTCCACATCTTCAGCATCAGATGAGGTAATGGGCAGTAGTAAGTCTTGAGTACATAACCCTAAAAATGTAGAGCAAGGCAGGCAGGCAGAGCTGGACTTGGAGCCACTGGCTGGAAGGGCCCTTTGTGGTCTCCAGCTAAAAATGCTGGAAAATACTAATGGCAAAAATAGCCAAATGCCTTTCAGGCTGTTTTTACAGATGAGTGACATAAAGTGCCTTGGACGCAGACAAAGTGAAGATATGTGGAGAGTGGAGAAAATGGATTCTAGAGTTAATGTTTCTTTGTAAACTCTTAAGCCTGTTGTGTTACCAATGCTTCATCTATGCAAAATCCAATTGGGTAGCAAGGGTAACCATCTTCAGCACCTTTCACCCTCCCTGGGGTCCAAGTGGCCTCCTGAGTTGAAGCTATGGACCTAGTGCATCCTGCCTTCTCCCCAGGGCTGAATGGGGAGGTTTGTCTCTGTCCCTTCCAGGCCTCTTATCTTGCACCCAAGAGCACTGACACAACCCTCAAGATAGTGAGGGCTGTTTCCAGGTTCCTGGGAGTACCTTATTGCTGTACCCACCAGCTTATAAGGCCACATGTGTCCTCTCTGCCAATACTTCATAGAAATATGTGATAATTTTCTGGTCTGAATCATTAAGAGGCTGTTCTGCTTCTCTTTTTCAGGGATGATAATGGTGATTTTATTGCTGCTTGTGGCTATTGTGGTCGTTGCAGTCTGGCCAACCAGCTCATAGCAATAAGGGGACCACCCACTGTGACACCTGCCAATGACAAATGAAAGCCCAGCACCTTTTTGTTACGCAACACCTGCTCTCAATAAACTCCCCAAAGCTCTGGACTCTTGATGTGCATTGCTTCCCTAAAGGCTCATGGCCAAGCAGCTCTAGAGAGCTACCTAAAACACTGTTTCAGCTTTGGTCAATTTTGGTGCTAGTCAACTGTCCCTCAAGTGGTCACTGACCCATGGCTGCCAATGGATTCCAGATACCCCAGTATACTGTGGAGTTTACTACCTCAATGTCTAGTCTGCTTGGGAAAGTCACGTACCCATGTGGAAACAAGTGGACAAGTCATGTGTCCAGGGTGTCCAGGTAGTGGGCAAGAGTGAGTGAGGTGAGGGCGTTGCTGAGGGGTGGTCGCGTGGACATGTGTCTGAGTGTGTAACCACCCTGTCACTCTGCCTTGCACAAGCCAGTCATAAGATTCAGTTACTGCACAGAAGTATTTCTAGGCTCTACTTTTGGAACTGCTTTCAGACCTGGAAGCACATTCTTTTTCATTTTCTTGGTAACAGTACACTTATTTTTCAAGGTTGAAACATCCTTCTAAACAATCAGGATTCAGTCTATTGAACAAGGTGGGAGGCAGGGGTAGTGGTCAGGCAGCAGTGGGGCTATGAAGTAAGGAGAGCACTGCCTTTCTCTGGCTCCTGCACCTACCTTGACAACTGTGTGCTCGAGTGTCTGCAGTAAGTGCTTGCAAGTCTCAGAAAGGGCAGGCTGATGGCATGGGCCTGTGAAGGATACCAGGCCCTCAGAATGGAGGCGGGGGTGGTCTCTGAGTTAGAAGGGTGCAGAGGGCCAGATATCATGCTCTCTCTCCTCTATAGAGAAAGCAGGATAGGCAGCTGGCCTTGCTTTGCCCTCCACGGCAGGAGGTCGCTGAGAGAGCAGTTGCTAAAGCACATAGTTTCACTGAGAGGAAAGAACAGGCCTATAGTAGGGAACTGTGACCTGAGGCCCCTGCCGGGCAGATACAAGAAGAGAGTCAGGGAGTTCTGTTATTTCCTGGGACCTTGATGCTCTGGAGCCTCACCAGGAGTCCAAACACCTGCTTGGCTGTGACCACATCTCTTCACCCCAGAACCCAGGCTGATGAAACAGCCATGGAGGTCTATCTGATGGTGGGAATGGGACTCTGGAAGCCTGCAGGCCAACAGTGGAACATCATCCCAGAAGCAAAGTGAACCCATGGCCTCTGCTCACAACTCACTGGCCAGAACTTGTTGCCTGGCCCTGCTCCACCACAGAGGACTGGAAGTTTCCAGAACCTGAAATAGGGAGTGAAGATCAAGGACAACCACACCACTTGCTATCTTCCCATGCTTCTGTGTCCTCATCTAGAAAAACAGATAAGATCCCTTCCCACCTGGGAGGGTTGCTATGAGGACTGGGTAATATACACAGGCAAGCAGAACATGCCACTTGTCAGCTGGGAAAGGCCAGAGCTTTTGGACGGTAATGTGCCCTGGGATCCGTTTGTCAGGGTGGGTTGGTTGCTAATGGATCACCCAAGGGAAGACCAAGAATCCAAGAGCCACATCTTCCAGTCTTGTGTGAAACCCCAAATCTGTACAAACAGTGTCTCCTTGGAACCCCACTTTGGAGCTCATGGAAGGCAGCATTGACAGTCTATTTGACTTTCTCACCTCCTCTTGACTTGCTCAGCACGGAGCCCCAGCAACTCGTGGGGCATCTTTGAACCAGAGCCATGGAAGCCTGGCTCAGCCACACTGAAAGGCCTTTTCAGGAAAACGCTGGGCCCATGTCTGCGCATATCAGCTTCTGTGCTTTGGGCTGAAGTCCCAGAATTGCTAACTTAAACTCTGAACAAGTTACTTCAATTCTCGATCTATGGGTATTGAGGGTGGAGGAAAAGCTGCATGGAAGGTTAGAGTACCAGCACCTGCCATCCAGTCCCTGAGTAGTTCAGGCTGCAAAGGCTAAAGTTGTTCAGACAGGAAGACCCTAGACCCCTTTAGTCTTCCTCAAGGGATGGCTTTCTCACATGCAACACCTACCCCATCAGGCCAGAAGTGTCTAGGCATACCCAGGTGGATGGGATGCACCACTTTTGGGACCTGCTGCCTCGAGACTACCCTAGAGTAATGTGGCTCTTGTACAAGTGGAACTTTCCATCATGGTTTGCAAGGTCTAGTTTTCCCCCTCAAAAGTGTCAGGCCCACAGGCCTGGGCGACCCACTGTGAGAACTCTGGAATTGGTTGGGTAAGCCTTCAGCCCTCCCTGAGCATAAGGAAGAGCAGCAAGGCAGGGCTGCAGTCCCTATCTCCAAACTTTATTAAAATAACAGCCTAAGAGTTGTTTAACTTAACTGGTTATTAATTATAAGCATTTTAAGTCTGGATACCATATAAAGAAATCCCGGTACTTGAGTACAACTGGTATTTTGCTCCATTTAAACTTCATGATCATTAATAACTGTCATTGACCCCAGGACAATCTTTTTTTAAGACCTTCAAGGCCTGGGTCTGAACACAGTGTCCACCAGGCCTTTATGACTTTGATATGAAAAATCCTGCTGCCTTTTCCCTATTGTTTACAGCCAGCTGGGCTTGTGCTTCCTTCCTAAGCTCAGATCACTAGAACTTTCCTTCCACGGGGCGACTGTAGAATTCTTGATTGCCCTCGGCTTCAAAAACTGTCCATCCGGCTCTTCCCTGACCAATCAGAAAACTGCCAACAGCCTGCTGGATAGCTGTGTTCTCCCTCCTTGTGGAAAGTCTGCTTTTACTTTCTTTCAAGCCCTATCTCCTCCTCCTCTCAGATTCATTGGCATTTTTTTTGCAGACTGGTTAAAGAGCATCTCTTTTTCTAGTTGATTGAGTTCTGCTGAAGTTAAGTGGGTTTCCCCTACTATTTTAAAAGATAAGCTCAAACTCCTCTTTCCTCTGATTGCATCATGCAATTTCACAGGCTTCCTCCCAGCTACATGTGGGTAACAAAAAGCATTGACCTCCTTCCAGAAATGACTTGCTGTCCCGCCAATGAGTTAATCCACACATGTACAGTATTTCTCACTGGCTCTGTTCTTTTTGCACCCTCTTTTTCTTGGCACATTTCTTATCTCTTTATTATTTAGTTGTAAAAAGAGCATGGAAAGAGATCTGTTTTGTCTGTTTAACGAAATTTGAGATTGAGGGGTGTGTCTACCATGAGTAGGCATCCCCATGCCCGGCACTGTCCCTGGGAATCTTAGGAATTTGTGAGGCCTTCCAGGCAGACCCTGGGAAACTCAGTCCCGGGCAGCCCCCTGGACTTTGGAGTAAACTGGCTCCTGGGGCTCTGATGATCACTTGGCTTTCTTGTGCCTCTGTATTTGGTCTATAAAATGGGTCTTTAAATTGTGGCAGTGCTCATAGCCATCCAGCTTACTTCTTGTATTCTCTTGAGTTGGGCAGATGTCAGCACTTGGTCTTCCCAACCAGAGCAGAAGGCTCTGGAACGCTGCAGGCTGTTTGCAGTTCCATTCTAGTGTGTCTCTGATAACTGTGTTTCCTGCAGGCCTTGGGCAAGGGCTGCAGCTGCCAGCACAGGGCCTAGGCACAGACAACTTTATGGACAGGCAGGAAAACCCAATCAATCATGAAATTCCCTGAGAACTGGACCCTTGACCTAAAATGACCAAAGCTGAGAATCAAACTACTAAGTGAATAGTAGACCTCTCAGCCTAAATCTTAGTGAGTCTAAAATCCTGCCAATGGTGCATCTGGTCCTAGGGAGCACCTGAGACTGCAGACAAGGCCTGCTTTTCTCCTTGGCCTGTCCTACCTACTGAGGCCTGCCTCCTGTCTCCAGTCACCCACCAGCAGACACTGCCATTCAGTAGGAACTCTCTCCTGAGATGGATTGGGACAACTGGAGTCCACACTTGTACCTACCTGTCTTGGCACCTATAGCTCCTGGTCCTCAGAGCCAGACCCTGGAGAAGACTGGACCAATGGTGGCATCCTGAGAAGCAGCAAGGCTCCTCCAGCCAGCCCTCTGCACAGCAAGGGAAAGCTTCCTGTGTCTTCAAAGAATGATGCCTAGGATCTGCATTGCTGAGGGCCCAGACCAGGTCCATGGTTGAGCCTTGTCTTTAAAACAGCTGGGAGAAGGAATGCTGATTCCTGGTGCTGATAAACTGTACTCTGTATGGCAACACAACGTGCTCCTAATGGCAAGATTATTTAATAAGGAAATCACAACCATTTGGAGATTTAAATATATCCTCTGTGAAACCCAGTGAACTCAGCCCATGCCCAGTCTACCCCACAAGAAGCTTCAGCAATGGCTTAGAAAAGCATCTTTGGTAAGATCCCTTTAATTTCACCAACTCTGCTGGATGTTCTTGTCTCTAGTTGGCTTTGAGTGAAGAAACTAGTTATGTAAAAGGCAAAAAAGACTTGCAGGCCTACAACAGGAATGTCAAAGGTTATTCGCCACCCTGCTACTACATGTAGGATAAGTGGGAGGGAACCCTCTTTTTTCTGCCCCCACAAGTTCCTGTCTGGGGGGCCAGAGAAAGGCAAGGATCTATCTCAGGGGTGGTGACTTAAGGCTAAAGTACAGACCATCCCATTTGAGAGCCTGTTAGCTTGAAATAGCATTTGGAGCCAGCAAGCCCCCAGGACTTTCCAAGCAGGGCTGCCCTTTTCCTGCCTTTTTTGGGAAGTTAGGACTCTGTGAAAAAAAAAAAATATATAAACAGGATTCTGTCTTGCTGGGGCGTTCTAGGGCAAGAGTCCATATTCCTTAAGTTGCTGGAAGACTCCACCCTTCTAACTCCCTACATGCCCACCACCCAGAGCTCAGGCCACCAAGAAAGACTGGGAGACAGAACAGTATACAAGAGTTTATTGAATGATATCTGAATTTAGTTCTATCGTGTGGGGCCCATGTTACAAGTTCCTTCTGGGTCCATTACAACTCTAACAACAAAAAAACAACCTTAAAAAATCCACAACTTTTCCCATGTCATTAAATATATTCATATATAATAACCATAATATATTAGTATGCATTGGAAAGGACCCAAACAATATGTCATGGTCACAA